AAACTACAACCCAACCCTGAAATCCAGACTCAGCATCACCAAGGAAAACTCCAAGAGCCAAGTTTATTTAACACTGAACAGCCTGATAGCCGAGGACACAGCCATGTATTTCTGTGCGAGGGACACAGTGAGGGGAGGTCAGTGTGAGCCAAACACAAAACATCCTGAGGGAGTAGGGGGGCTGAACTGGAGGGGACCCTCAGGACACCAGGGGGTGCTCAGGAGACAGAGGGCAGAGCATCCAGCCCAGGAGCAGGTGCAGGTGCAGCCCTGGCCCCCTGTTGTCCTCTGGGGTTTCCTCTTCCTCTGACACTTGCTCCTGGATCTTCTCCAGAGTCACGATTTATAAATTATTCAAACCTGACAAGGTCCCATTTTCCATAGAACCTCCACAGGCTCCCAGCCTGAGCCAGACGACCACAGCCACCCTCAGCCTTCCCAGACTCACATCCATCCCTCAGGACACTTACCTTCATCACAAACCTACATCCCCTGAAATGCAGATTCATAAAAGNAGGACACTTACCTTCATCACAAACCTACATCCGCCGAAATGCAGACACTTAAAAACCTGAACTCAGGTCCTAAATTCCCCCTAAAATCAGCCTCTGAAAAGTCCCCAATCCCATCTCTAAGTCAGGTATGGGTGGCAATTTGGGGGGATTCATCCCAAGAAAATATTCTCTCCACCTGTGGATCTGGGAGACTAACAGCAACTTACTTCCTAAAGTACAGCTGAGAGGCAGGCCGAGGATAGTTAGAGACATTTCCATTCCCAGGAGATCAATGGAGTTTAGGAAGAAATCACCATCCTGAGGCAATGCTGACATCCCCCTGAGCTTCCTCCTTCCACACAGGCCTGGGATCAGCCTCCTGAGGCTCAGACCCCAACCCCGGGCCTGGGCTCTGCTCTCGGATCCCCCCTCCTGAAGGTACAGGGGTTGGAGCAGAGCACGTCCCTCAGCCTGTCTGCTGCCTGTGGATTATTGAGTCTGAAGCCCCTTTCACTGTGTTCTCTCTGTTACTACAGAAAAGCTCTTCTGACAGTCGCTAAATTGGAAAGGAGATTCTGTCCAAGGCTCTTACAATAGGGTCGTAGCCACAGGAGAGACACAGGGCTCACCTGGATGTAGCAGAGACCCCTGGGCATTGACCTCCAAGGAGCAGCAGGAGGGGACAGTGGATGGAAATAACTCAGAGGGGACATCCTGTGAACAGCAGGGTCCATAGTACTCCTGCTGGAAGGGACCCGACAGGCAGCTGGATGAGAGGAGGGGTCTCTAAACCTCTGCGGGCCTTAGAGGAAAACATGCTCTCAGGACCCCTGGGAGCTCAGGATCCACTGAGCTCATGTCCCACACAAGGAAGGGGGTTACAAGAATGTCTGTGTCCAGTTTTTATGTCCATACTCTGAAAATATACTTTAATATGCTTTTCTTGCATGTAGATGCTACAAAACAGTTATCCAAATGTTATGGAAATGTAGAGCTGTCCCCTTTTTACAATAAACACTCTAAATGCTAATAACCGAACTTGCCAAAATACAGGCCATGGAATCAATTTCACTCCAATCACCATGGCATTGACTGAATTTTAACTGCCAAGGTCTCCATCTCATACATGAGTAATTCACTTTAAATTCACGTAGTCACACTGATCATAGGTGTCCTGGCTTATATTTCCTTCAATAATTATTTATTTCATGACTTTCTTTAATGTTTTCCATTAGTGTCTGCAGAGAGACCCCCTGTAAATGTCCTTCTGGTTGTTGGAAACCCACAACCCCCCATCAGCTCCATGAATCTCTCTAACTTCCTAGTGTCTCTGGATCCTCAGGATAGAAAAGCATCTTCTCAATACTCAGTGTTGTTTGTCTCCTTGAAGGTCAGGGAGCCAGAGATACTCAGGGCCAAGGGCACCAACACACCACGTACACGAAATCCCCTCTTACAAGACCTGCAGCCTGAGGTCTATTTCCCAGGATGGTGCTTGTCTCCAGCTCTGAAGTCTGGATGACACCAGAATACAGACTTTCATTCATGTTCTTGTTAAATACAGGGGTTTTGCACCCTCACTGGACAGGTCCCGTTCTGCCTTGGAATTGCCCTATAGTAGCAGTCGTGGCCAATGTGGAGGGGCACAGGCCAGATCCTGGGCTCACTGATACCAGGTACCGTCTGTTGGGTTGAATGAAACCTTATGATTCTGTATTTAGATAATTAAATCATTCATGGCCATCCCAAGGCTACAGGACACTCTCACCCGCAAAGAGGCAGTGCCTTCTCTGTAGGTTAAACCCGGAGTCTCTATATAGTAGGAAGTCATGCAAATAGGGCCCCTTCTGTTCTTAAAAACCAGCCCAGCCCCAGGCCTGCAGCTCTGGGACAGGAGCCCAGCCCCAGGATCCCCAGTTGTTCTCATTCCCTGATCAGGGCTGAAAACAGACCACTCACCATGCGGCTTGGGCTCAGCTGGGTTTTCCTTGTTGCTATTTTAAGAGGTAATTTATGGAGAACAAGAGACACTGAGAGTGTGAATGGACATGAGTGAGAGAAACAGTGGACGTGTGAGAGTTTCCTGAACAAGACGTCTTTGTGTTTGCAGGTGTCCAGGGTGAAGTGCAGCTGGTGGAGTCTGCGGGAGCCGTGGTGAAGCCTGGGGGGTCTCTGAGACTCTCCTGTGTAGCCTCTGGATTCACCTTCAATAGCTATGACATGCACTGGGTCCGCCAGCCTCCAGGGAAGGGGCTGGAGTGGGTCTCATACATTAGTAGTGGTGGTGGAAGCACATACTATGCAGACTCTGTGAAGGGCCGATTCACCATCTCCAGAGACAATTCCAAGAACACACTCTATCTGCAAATGAACAGCCTGAAATCTGAGGACTCGGCCGAGTATTTCTGTGCGAGAGACACAGTGAGGGGAGGTCAGTGTGAGCCAGACACAAACCTCCCTGCAGGAGACAGGAGGCTGGGCTGCAGGGGGCCCCCAGGACACCAGGGGGCGCTCACAGCCTCAGACTCTGTCTCAGCTTCAGGAGAAGCTGCAGGTGGAGTTTCTGGCTGTTTCCTCTGAGAGCTCAGGGCTTCCTCTCTGCACAACAGTCTCTCCAGAGTCTCGAGACCTGTGCTCTGTGCCTACCCACGATGGGTCTGCATTTAAAGTATTTATTAGTTTAGTAGAAACATTCTCACCTGCAGAAAGGGAGTGTATCACTTGTGAGGGAGAAAATTGCAGAGGGGTTGGTAAGCCGGGGAAACCGTCAGCCCACAATCAATGTCTGTCCATGAAACGTGGGACATGCCTAAAGCTGCCTGCACTTCAGGACCTCCCAACAAATGGGTCAGAGATTTCTTCACTCTGTGGTCCCTTCAGATGACGCCTGGGTCTCCCAGCCATGGCCCTGCCTTAGTGTCCCTGCTGAGCTCAGCCATGGTCTGGGGGTCGGGCACAGCTGTGTCTGCAGCACAAACCACCTTGGATTTCAGAGACCAGCAGCTGGGACATGTTCTCTGTGCTCCCTGGAGATGGAGGCCAAGTAGGTGCAATCTCAGGACTGTCATTTTATGAAACCTCTGTAAGAAAGTGTGTTTTTAATTCATTCTTTTGGATGGCACATGAAATAAGCATGTGGTCTGCTAACAAGTGGAATTTTCACATTGATCCCAAATACATTGTCCCTTACCTCTGTGGGTGTCCTGACTGAGTGTTGCTTCTCACAGGAGGAATTGTTAAATGTGCTGAGAAGCCTTGTTCCATTTCCATCTGGTTCCCTCCATGCCCAGAAATCTTGAGGGGAATAACTTTGTCACCTCTTCAGAAATTCCCTCCACCTTCAGGGGGAAGAGTAGACATGCATTTGCTGAATCTCAGGTAGGAGCTGGTCCTGCCCACCTCAGAGGCTGCAGAGACCAGCCCCTGGTTGCAGTTCACAGAGGCAGGTCTTTCCCTGGGCAGGGACCACGAGCAGCTCCCCTGTAGGTTCATGTTGCTCAGGTTGACCTGAGGGGTGCAGACTTAGGACACCTGTTAGGGGGACACTGCTGACCCTGGGCTCACATTTCTCTCTGAGGCTCTGTAGTCAACAGTCATGGAGGTTCCCCGACTAATGTCAGGAAACAAGTACACTGAGCTGAACAGGCCCTGGTGTGTCCCATGGTGGACACGCGGGAAGCTGAGTGTGCACACGGGGCCAGGGGAAGGCTGCTCCTGCCTGCAGGCTGAGGACCTGGCTCTAGGGCCCTGGCACTGAGAACCGTTATGCTCCTCATGACTCCAGGTGGGAGCCCTGAGGCCAGCCTGTCCTTGCAGAGAATCTCCAGTGTGCAGGAGGCAGGACTGGGGCTGCCACCGTGTCAGAACGCCAGGAATGACATCCCTGTGGCAGACACACCTGCCTTGTCTCAGGAAGCTGGTTCAGACACCAGAGCGTCAGACTTGGGGCTCACAGCGGCCACGAGGGGCACTGACATCCCCACAGACCTGTCCCAGGACGTCTCCTGGGGGATTTTAGGTGCAACCTTCACTGGAGAACCTTAAAATCCCACCTTCCATGCTCGTGGAGTGTGTCTCTCAGGAATCAGAGACAAACGACTAGAAAGATCAGACCAGCCCTGTGCCCCTGAGCCCTGGCCCAGGCATCGTTGTCCACCTGCGATCCCCAAATTTAAATGGGGAGGGAGGAGCCCTGCTGGCAGCTCAGACAGGTCCCAGGGAAAGACATGCAAATGTGGCCCCTGCCCTGCCCAGGAAAAGCTGCCCAGCTCCTGTACCTGCAGGTCCTGGACAGGAGCCCTCACCTGTGAGAACCTCCTCCGTGTCCACACCATGGGGTCTGCACTCAGCTGGGCTGCCCTTCTCATCACTGTCCAAGGTGTGTCCCTGTGCAGGAGGCTCAGGGGGAC